GTTGAAGTCCCACCCCTCTTAAAGCAGGCTGGCTAGGGGATTTTGGGAGTCAAAGCCCACCCCTCTTAAAGCAGGCTGGCTGGGGGATTCTGGGAATTGAAGCCCACCCCTCTTAAAGCAGGCTGGCTGGGGGATTCTGGGAGTGGAAGTCCCACCCCTCTTAAAGCAGGCTGGCTGGGGGATTCTGGGAGTTGAAGTCCCACCCCTCTTAAAGCAGGCTGGCTGGGTGATTCTGGGAATTAAAGCCCACTCCTCTTAAAGCAGGCTGGAGGATTCTGGCTGGAGGATTCTGGGAGCTGAAACAGTGGGCTAGACTGGAGATTAGACAAGTGGTAGACCAGATTGGGAAATTGCAGGATCGCTGGGCTTTAGCTTGTTTCAAGCTGGTTATCTGAGATGATTTGGGATTGAAATGGGGGAAATGAGATGGTCTTCCTCCTTTTCTTTTGGCCCCTCTACTTCCCCCTCCTGTCCTTCCAGGCGCTGCTGAGTTGATGTGGTTTGAGAAGCTGTACGCCTGGCTGCAGTGCGTCGAGAAGTACGTCATCTACCCGGCTGTGGTGCTGAACGCCTTGACGATCGATGCCCACTGGGCCAGCAGCCCTCGGCAGGAGAAGCTCTGCATCCCGTAAGTCCGTCCCATCCAGCCTGCAGTCCCATTGGTGGAGGGAGGGGCATCACAAAGGAGGTACAGCTTATGACATCATCATCATCATCATCATCATCTAATGCGCCATAATCCCTTGCGGGCGGTGGAGCCTGGGCAACTGAGTGAAGCTAGCAGAGCGTTTGAATGGCCGGATGCCCTTCCTGTCGCCAGTGCGGAGTTTTGTTCAGCAGATCTATTTCCCAGGGTGCCCAGAGAGCGAATAGAGCCTATGATATCACATTACAAAATGCCCAAAGGAGGAAAAAGCCTACCATGCAAGGATACTTGTATTGTTTTGCGACGTCCTATCACACGTACAAAGGGGAGGAGAGTTTATGGATGAGGCTCCTTCTCTTGGGGGTGGTGCAGTGGTCGGAAGGCAGGATTTCAAGCTCATTCTGCCGACTGCCAGCAGTTCGATTCTCACCGGCTCTGGGGAAAATGAGGACCCAGATTGTTGGGGGAGTAAAAGGCTGACTCTGTAAACCGCTTAGAGAGGGCTGGAAAAGCACTGTGAAGCGTTATATAAGTCTAGTGGTATTGTTATTCTATACTGTCCCTATTCCCATTCCCAATTCCATTCCAATCCATTCCCTATTCTATTCCATTCTATATTCTATTCCTATTCCTACCATTCTATTTTCTATATTTTATATTCTCTTCTCATTTTTATATACATTCTCTTCTCTTCTCTTCTCTTCTCTTCTCTTCTCTTCTCTTCTCTTCTCTTCTCTTCTCTTCCATTCTATTCTATATTCTATTCCTATTCCTACCATTCTATTCTCTATATTTTATATTTTCTTCTCATTTTTGTATACATTCTATTCTCTTCTACCGTGTTTCTCATATAATAAGGCCGGGTCTTTTTTTTTTTTTTGAGCCCCGAAAAAATGGCTAGGCCGTCTTTTCGGGAGTGACTTAATTTCCTCCCCCCCTTGCATCTTCGGGCGGGCGGGCAGCGATGGCTTGGATGTTGACCTCGGCGTTGGTAGGCCACTTCATATCGGGGTCAACGCAGGCAGCACCATATCCGGGTGTGCAACAAAAGTACTTCCTAACGGCAAGCCCCCCCCCATTCCCCCTCATTTCGCATGTTTTAATATAGGCCTTAATTTGGGGAGAGGGGCTTAATTTCATTTCATGCCTATAAAACATGCTGGGACTTCCTATTGGGGGAGGCCGTATTGTCGGAGAAACAGGGTATATTCTCTTCTATTCTATTCTACAGTATATTCTATTCTAGTCCTAGTCCCATTCCATTCTATTCTCTATATTTTATATTCTCTTCT